AAAAAAAAAAAATCACTTTTATATATATATATATAGTAAAGAAAAAAAGGAACTTTTTTTTTAAAAAACAAAAAACTCTTTGAACTTTTTTTTTAAAAAGAAAAAACTATTTTAACAACAAATAATAAAAAAGATCAAAAAATCAAAAAATTTTTTCATAACTTTATATCATAAGGAATTGAATGATTGTGTCATTTGAGTCTTTTGAGAAATGCATTATTGTTTTGTTTCTTGTTCGTTCATGCGAGTATATACGTGTTATGCGACTATGATAAAATAAAATTCTTTATCAAGTAAACCAAATTATTTGTTATCAATTTGTACACCGATACACTTTCTTATAATTGGTACGGAACGCATAATGTAAAACACGGGCAAAAAAAAAAATTTATTTATTTTATTTTATTTTAAAAATAAAAAAATTACTAATTACTAATTTATTCAATCCTATTTTAAAATTGGCAAACATTCATTATCATTTACTAATTATTTTTTACACAAAGAAAAAAAAAAAGCATCTCGTGACGGTTTACAACATGTTCACTATGTCATTTTATCATTACATAATTATATTAATTTATTATTATATATTAATTATATATAATCATATATATCTTTTTTTACATAAACAAAAACTCTTCCTTATCGTCTTACCTTTTAATACCATTTTTCTTTCATATTACATCATCTACTTCCTTCATATTTAGCCCAATCTTCAGAATAGGTAGGAATTAAAAAGTAGGTGAAATTAATATAGTAAATATGGTGGTAATATGGCAAATGCGGTAAATATGATTTATTATAATAGGATTTATTGATTTTATTAGATTGAGAATCGAAAGATAAGGTTAAACTTTTGATTCGAATGATTTAAAGAAATTTCTCGCGTTTTATTGCCTTTTATTAATATAATAATAATGCAAGATGATATTCTTTAAAGAATACATTTACTTTACATTTTACATTTTACATTTACATTTACATTTAAAAAAACATTCGACAATATTCTAATTAAAGTATTTGAATAGGTTCAAATATGGTAATCTTGTTTATTGATTTTGTAATTTTAAAATAGGGTTATATATAATATTTGATCCAAAATAGTATATTCTAGAAAATCACTCAAAAATTGTTTGTAAAGTTTGTAAAAAAAAAAAGTGTAGTGATATGAATGTATCACAACCTCAACATTGACCTACTGTCATGCAATAAACAAACGATGCAACTTCATTATACAAAAAAGCATACATTTATACAAATATGATAAATAAGATTTCGAATAAAAAAGTTTATTTTTACTGCGATTAAATAAATCCAAATTCGGTGATTATTTTTGTAAGGGGGTGGGAAGTTTTTTTTTTTTTTTTATTTATTTATTTTTTTATCTATTTATCTTGGCTTATTTTTTATTTGATCATTTTAGGTAACAATCAACTATATTAAGCAACAAAGTCATAATATCATGATTAATTGGTTATTAGTTGGCGTTTTTTCGAACAGCGCATATCTGATATATATTCATTTTTCCTTAAAGATAAGAGACAATAAAAAATTCATTCATTCTTCGACTAATAATAATAATATAAGGCGTAATTACTTGGGCACGTGCGTTCCTTTTCGCTTTGAGAACGTGTGAAATAATAAACATGTGATCTGAACACAAAGCGCCAATCGAGAGAGGATTAATCATTAATGTCGATTTATTAACTTAAATCGTGTTACTAAATCAAGTAAATTTAAACAATTTGATTGCGTATCTAAAGATCTTAGTAAAAAATTTTTTGTTTACGTATTTGCATATGTCAAAAAAAAAAAAAAAAAGCCTAAATAAATTTCTAAATTAAACTATTCTTAACNTGACCTACTGTCATGCAATAAACAAACGATGCAACTTCATTATACAAAAAAGCATACATTTATACAAATATGATAAATAAGATTTCGAATAAAAAAGTTTATTTTTACTGCGATTAAATAAATCCAAATTCGGTGATTATTTTTGTAAGGGGGTGGGAAGTTTTTTTTTTAATTTTCCCATCTCACCTATCTTCACCTATCTTTTCATTTTCCCATATCTTATCCTTTCCGCCTAATCTCGGGAAGTTCTTAAATTTGATATTATTTTTTTTTTTTTGTTTCAAATTTATTCAATTGTCAATTAATCAATTGTTGTTTAGGAAGATCAGCGAATAAAGAAATTTTTGGATTTAGTTAGTATGTTCATTTGAAATTAGTATGTTCATTTGAAATTATTACCGACAAAGACTTTTAACCGAGTCATAAACAAGATTGATTCCAGTTAAATGTTATGGATAGTATTGATTGTCCTTTAAAATAAATTATATTTTTTTAGGTATTTAAAAAAAGGTTGTGTGAAAAAAAAGTTGTGTGTGTGTTACGAGTAGTCAATTTTCTTCTTTTTAAAAAATGAATATGGAAATTAGTACAATATTTATTCAACTTAAAATTGTTTCATATAACCAAAAAAAATTTTAGTACGCGTTGTTAAAAAAAAGAAAATCTAATCTATTAATCTATTGATTATTATAAAAAAAAAGTATTTTTGATATTTTGATTGAAAAAAACTCGAACTCCGATGCGGTGACAGTTACACACAGTACACCAAAAATACATCAAGAAATGAAAAAAGATATGCATAAAAATGCATAAAGATAACGAGGATAAATAATTTATATCCATCTTTTTTTTTTTTTTACTTTATTTTTTACTTTATTTTTACTTTAAAACGCCACTTTAATCAAAAATATATACATACCCATTTTTATCATTCATTTTTTTTTTTTTATTCATTTTTATTTCAAAGGATTTACTGCGGTTAAGAATATGATAGAATATGTAGAATATGTAGATCATGTTAAGAAATTTATGGCATGATTCTATCATAAAAATTTCATTGGATGATATATTTAAGTATTTATTTGATATTTATTGATATTTATTGATAACACAAAATAGTCACGTTCACTTTACATTTTTTTTTAAATATTATAAATATATGGAAAAATGGAAAATTTTTTTGCTCCATTTGAGACATATGGAGTATGGTTTTGCTTAATTTTAGTTAACACCACATGATCATTCTATTCAAATTATCCAAATTAATATGTAATGTGGAAGTCGCGTGATAATATTTCGTCGCGGAATTTTAATTTTATTTCCAATAAAAAAATTTATGACCAATTATCAACAAAGAAAAAAAAAAGGTATTGTATAACTGTAATTGTATACCAAAAAAATACTTGATTCATTTCTTGAAAGGTTTCAAAAATAATTATTAAAGTTATGAGTTATTCCTTTTGGGATTTCGATCATTGGAAAGGTATTAATCAAATGACCTTTAAAATAAATAACAATAGTCATGGGTGAAGGATGAAAGCTTAGAAAGTAAAAATTTCCCAAATTAAGTCAATTTAATTTTTTTTTTCTTCCTTAATTAATGAACTTTTCAAAGAATCGGAGATAAAGTTTAACCTTTTTTTGATGATCATGTTATCTTGTTTTGGTCACATTCTCCAGATCCCTTTGTCATGTAAAACCTGCAACCGTGAAATCATAATAAACATGTGAAATTACCCGAGTTTTACTTGAATAAATTTCTAAAGGTTTGTTTTTAGTAATTTAATTCTCGGAGAAAATAATAATAATAATAATAATAATAATTAATTTTTAACCGTTTAACTTCATCCTAGACTTGATATGGAAGGATGTAATTTTTTCTTTTTTTAAAACCGATCCATATAGAATATAAAAAACTTGATGGATATTATTTCCAAAAAAATGTATGTGGGATTTCATCCGGATTTGTTTACAATAATGTTTGAGTATTCATTAAAGTTTTATTAATATTTAATATTGTTTACTTTGTCTTCTAGAACTGCGTTACCCGATCCTAAAAGTATAATATTTAAAAGTATAATAATTATACATTTATTAAGGCTTAAAAAAAAAAAATTCTGAAAAATAAAAAAAATTAGGCCAATTTTGGAATACAAATTACAAAGTTACCCTGGTATTTTTAAACCTGTAAAAGACTGAGTGTATTTTAGTGATAGTGTATGTGTAGCATGTATGCTACACAACAATGATAATTATTGGCTCATAATTATTCTTATGGTTGTTCCTCCTTTTTCTTTATTTTGTTATAAATCATATTATCATATTATCATATATTAAAATTATTAGATCTGATACGTCTAAAATCTTATATACTATACATGTTTCCGAAATAATTTTTTTTATTTCAGACCAATTTGGCAGTGTGTAAACGTAATCATCTGACATTTATCAGAAGATTTTACTGGATTTTCAGAAACCGTTTCGACCTTACAATTTCAGCCAGGTACTTTGGAGTTATTGCTACAAGGTCCTGAAATTAAAAAATTATTTCGGCAATATGTTATATTATAAACTAAAGAAAAATTGAACATATACTTTTTTAAATTCAGCTACAAGCTTAATTAACTTGAAATTTTCTAATTATTTAATAAATTTCACCCAATTCTTCAGTTTAGTTTCTAAATTATAGTAAAAAGTCTTCGATGATATATCAAAACTTTTACTGCGCCACGTACAGACAATAACAGTTAAGATCTGTTATGTGATTAACTGATTATCAATTTTTACTTTACGAACTTTACCAGTTACCAAAACTTTTAAGACAAGTTTTTAAAAGAAGTATTAACAGTTAAACTTATTACGAAATAATAGTATCCCAAAATGAATATTAAAAGAAACTTTATTACACTTTACTTCACTTTACCTCATATAAACTAACTTGAACCAGATTCCAGAGGGTGACAGTGAAGCAATCGAGATCAACGTAATGTTCTGTTCGTTTTTTTTTTTCAAATGAAACGATAAAATGACACTTGAATATATTATTCTGTACGTCAAAATCGATTGTAATAACAGCTTTTAAGAAATTAGTAATTTCCAGTATCGACCAAAAATAAGGACATTCTCGCGCGTCATTTCATTGAATTGGCCAAGCTTTGAAAAGGTATTATTGAGTAAATTTATGAGAGAGAATATTTATTATTCTTATTGCTAACTTCTTTTTTCTTCTGGTAGTGATTCTTCTGGTAGTGACATATCAAATAATGATCATATCAAATAATGATATCAACTAAATGCATTGTGGTTAATTCGCGGTAAGCTAAATTTAGTATTAATTTATGTATTTTACTATAATGTGAACTTTGCTTCTTAAAACTGATATATGTAAATACATCTTTTCATTTATTAGGGACAATAAGTTCACCATATATATATACAGTGACACCTCTCTAAGTGCACCCCCCTTGGGATCATAGTAAAAAAATAGTAGAATGTGCACTTAGAGAAGGTGTACATTTATAGAGAGTAAAATATTAAAAGCTCTTATAAGTTTGGACCAGGCAAACCACGCACTTAAAGAGAAATCACTAGAATTCTAGGTAATTATTTTAATTATTTCATATTTGTTTATATTTAAGTAATTATTGCTCACTTTCTATTCAACTGCAATATAGATCAAAAAATATGGATTTATATGGCTTATATTAATAATCAGAAGATTTTTCTTAATGGATTAATTGATTTATATAAAAAATTGCTAGTAAGCTATATTAGAAGGAATAGTCCAATAGATTAGTATAAAGTTAAAAAAGAATATAAAAAAAAAAATAAGTTTTCATCCTTTATTATAAAAAAATGAAAACTTAAGATTGGAAATTGGATTATAACAAAAATGCATTATATATTATAGTTGGTAAATATAGTTTACAACTTTAATATTTACTGTATTATTTTATTATATTATTTTACTGTTCTGTAAACTTTATTAACTTATTTTTTCTTATATAAAGGAAAGAAATATTGTGAATTCATTGTATTATTGAACTATAAAAAAATAAAATATATTTATTTTTTTTTTATTTTTACAAATAAAAAGGAGATTAAGATGCAATATATAAACTTGAAATAGTGAATAGTGGAATTCTTTCTGATGATCATACTGACCATTTTTTCACAAATAATTTTTTTAGCTTTTTATTAACTACTTATTGAAAATAAAGAATTTTATTTCCTATTATACACAGGTCGAAAAGTGAAAAATCAGGCATCAATCAGGCACCAATCGGTCACCAATCAGGTACCTGATTGGTGACCGATTGGTGCCTGATTGGCATTTTCGCCAAATACCGTCACCAATCAGGCAGTTTGCTAACTTTTGATCCAGTAATCAGAAAAGAATGAAATATAGCTCATTGGAATCGTCTTAACATGACGAATCTAATGGTAGTAAAATCGCATCTCTAGGATTAATAGTTAATAAAAAATTAAATAAAATATAAATGATACATTTTTATTTTTATATTTTACTTAATTTCTCATCAAGTATTAATCCTAAAAATGAGATTTTACTACCATTAGATTCGTCATGCTGAGACGATTCCAATGAGCTATATTTCATCCTTTTCTGATCACTGGATCAAAAGTTAGCAAACTGCCTGATTGGTGACGGTATTTGGTGAAAATGCCAATCAGGCACCAATCAGCTACCTGATTGGTGACCGATTGGTGCCTGATTTTTCACTTTTCGACCTGTGATAGTAACTGACTGACATTATCATAATTCCAGCCCTGAAAAATGCATCATCACCTGACCTATATATATATTTCTGATCCTATATTTAATTTGAAGAAATTGTGAAGACTTGAAAATAAAAGTTTTGGAGAATATAAATTTCAAAGTAAAAAAATTCAAAGATAATACATCATTAAAACAGAAAAGTTTATATTTATTTTTATTATGTACTGTAACTGTAACTAAACTTTATATTAAATGTTTAGTTTTTGTACATTATACTATTATTAAAAAGCTTATATTTAGAAGATAGTCAGAAATTAATATAATTTAAATTTTAGGATTTTTAACCTTTTCTTCCTATATTATCATCAATTTTAGAAAATGCAAAATTAAAATATAATTTTGGCCAGAATTATATTAATTACAAATATCTAAAAATGGAAAATGTGTAACATCATCATGAATAATCTTATCATATTACCTTGCGTATTATGAATATTAATAGTATTAGTTACATTGCATAAAGGGTGTGACATTTTATGCAAATAACAAATAGAAATCAGACCACAAAAAAATTTCTAAGTTACTGAAATAAATATAAACAACGCGGCTACCGCCATCACATATCCATGTGATAAAATCATCACCTATACTACGTAAGATAGTGTGATAAGATTTACCCATCATCATAATTTTAATTTTCTCTCTCTCTTAAGAAATGATATTATTTCTGAGTTCTGACCATCCTCTTATTTATTAAATAAATTAAAAGAAAGTGATAAATATCAACAAGTTTTAAAATATATTATTATCTATATATTATCATTTATTTTATATAAATTGTACAATAATAAAAATATAAAAAAAAAACAAAACAAATCTATAGTCAATAAAATAAAATAATCTGAAAATTGAGTTAATATACTTATATATTCATTTTTGCAAAAGTCTAACTATTAGATTTTTGTTGAATATTGAGTTTGTTCAACAATTCTTGCTTCAATTCTGGGAAATCATTAGTATACCATTCATTTTTATCAATCATTTCTTTAATTTTCTTTCGAGTCTTATCAGCATTGGCATAATAATATCTTAAAATATGAATTTAAAGTAAAAATGAATAGGATTTTTTTAAAAATAAATATATAAAATAAAATTACATAATACATACATTACTTCAGGAAACCATGTATTCCAACGTCTCTGATGTGGTAATAAATAAAATAATTCGATTTCAGCTAGAATCTATATATAGAAAGAAAAAAAAGAATGAAAAAATGTTTTTATTAAAAAAATCAATTTTATATTATATTATAATACCTCTGCTTTTTGTATCAGGTATGAAACTCTATTGTTATCTTTTTCAATTGCATTATTAAGTAATCCAATAAACAAATTCATAAGATATACAACAATCAAGAGTGAGAATAAGAAAATCAATATTACAAGTGATGGATTATCTATATATGACCAATTGGATAATGCTCTTGAATCACCTAATAATAAAATATTAATTGTTAAAATAAAATATTTGAAATATTTAAAATCTGTATAAATAATATAATAATTATAAATATACCTGTTAAGAATAAATACATTGCAAAAAGAGAAGTTCTATAATCTTCAAACATATTTGTATTTTTGTCAGGTGATTGAATAATAAATGGATGAGTATCAATAGTTCCATCATCAAATACTTTATTATAAGTAGGAACTATATTCCAAGGATTATTTGGATCATTATTCATATGTTTTTTAAAAGAATAATCAGATTCTGGTGATAATAAAATATAGAATGCATGTGCAAAACTAATTAAAATAATAAATAAAACTACTAAAAAAGAAATAATTTGTTTTCCAACACTAATGATGATTGCAAAATATATACCAAAAGATTCAAATACTCTAAAAAATAATAAAAATTTTATATCTAAAAATAGGCATGAAAAAGTAAGTAATGAAACATTTCTATTATTAGTTTGAAGCCAATAAATAGAAGCATAAATTGGAAGTACATATGCCATTATATCTATAATAATGATAAATAATATAATAATTAGTAATTATTTTTTTTAAAAAATACTGTAATCAATATATATTTATATATACCAAATATATTCCAAAAATCCTGGATCCATTTAATAGGATTATAAATAATCTGACGAATTTCAAAACTTAAATGAATAAATCCAAATATGATTGAAGTGATTAAAAGTTGTTTTCGTATATTCTCATCAATATATTGTTTAGAAATTGTTGCAGCAGCAGTAAAACAACAAAGAAAAGCCATAAATGTAATCCAAATTATTATATAATAATATTTTCCATAGGTATTCCATTTAAAATTAATTAATGCTTCTCCATTCCATGTTTTATAGATATCTCTGCTTATAGTTTTAACAAATGGACTAGGTTGAGGTCTAATTAATATTTCTAACAACCAATTATAATTTTGTGGATAATTAACAAATTTAATATAAGGAATCATAAAAGTAATTGTTGGTGTTGACATATATTTTGAAGATCTTGAATAAATATATTCATAACTTATATAAATATGAGCATAAAAAAAAAGAAACCAACCATTAGAACCATAAAGATCATTAATAAAATTGTATTTAAATAATATATTAAGTATAAAAAAAATAATAGGAAAACCAGGTAATGTTAAAAATATTATTAAAAGTTCAATAATGATTAATGGTTGGTTTTTCCAGAATTTATACAATAATTTATTGTATTTTGACCATAAAATAGATCGAGTTAAATTAATTATTTGAAGAGATTGAAAAGAATAAAGATGTAAATTGTTACTTTGATGTTCTATATTATAAAAGGAAGAATCTATAATCATATTTGTCTCTAATGAATATTTTAAAATATATTCTGGATAGTATTCATTTAATACTGCCATTGTAGAAGTAATAATACTTAAAAATATCCTATTGTTTACTAAATCTTCTTTATAATAAATTATACATTTTTCATAAATATAATTTATTAATTCTAATTTATGCTCTTTAATTGCAAATGTTAATAATTCAATACCATATTTCAGCAGATTTTCCTTATCTTTCATATTTTCTTTCATATATAAAGTCCATTCATCATTTAATTTAAAACTAACATAATTTGGTGAAGGTAAAGGAAGTTTTGAAAATACTTTTTTATAATAATGTAATTTTGCCAAAGAAAATTTTGGTATCAAACTAGTATATAATCCTAAATCTATGTAATAAAAATAGATTAAAGAAATAGAGTTCTCACTCTTATTAAAACGATAAATAAGAAGACCCATGTTTGTTAATAAACCAATATCATCATCATTAAATAACTTAATTTCATAAAAACCAATGTTAAAATAAAAACCAATGCTATTTTGAATATTAAATTTATCAATTCTGGTGCAAATTAAATCCCACTTGCTATCAACTTCAATTCTTTTAAAAACTTGTAATTTAATTGTTTTACCATCAGAAGTTTTTATGTTCCATGTAACTAAATCTTGAATTAATTCTTTTTTACTTATAACAGAGTTAATATATGATATGCCTTTTTGGAATAATGTGTGTATCATATCTTTATATGAATTTAAAAAATGTACATTTAAGGTTTCCTTGTTTGTTTTCTTATTACTTTCAATAATTTCATCACTTTTATTATTTAATTCAGAATTTTCGAATAAAAAATTGATTTTTGATATCTTTTCATCAAGTTTAATCTTCCAAACATATCCATCGAGAATTCCAAATATATATTTGCTTGCAGCTTTAATGTTATTTAGAGGAATTGGTAAAATTTTGTTTTGATACTCTTTTGGTAATTGGAAATTCTTTGTTAAACGGTCTAAACATTCTTTCCAACAATGTTCCGTGATGGAATTCCAAATTTTACAACTTGGTATATAATCGAATAAAGAAAGTAGTAATAAAGGACATAAGTTAATTTGATTCATAAAATTATGTATTTGAATATCTAAATTAAGAGTACTTTAGTATGAATAAAAATGATAGTATAGTATATTAAAAAATAAAAATAAAAATAGTACCATTATTTATATCCAAAGAAGCGATAGAAATTCCTATTTCAACTGAATAAATAATGATCTTATCCTTGATTCTTAAACAAGTAAAATTTTCATTGCTGGAAATTCCGTCAACCTTCCACTTTGAGGTGTAAAATAAATAATAATTAATAAGATACTTTAACAAATAATTTAACAATGTTTTATTACCTCATTCTCCTCATTCTTAAACATTCTTATATTTTCTTCATTAAGAATATTCCATTCATAAATGGAATTATTTGAAAATAAATAAAGTTTATCATTTTTTGATATGCCAATCAATTCAAAATCTTTGGGTATCTCATAAATTCTTTTACACATCCATTTATTATTTTTAGTTTGCGTGGAATAAATCCAAATAATTTTATGCTTTTTATACGCAGTTATATCAGAATTAATTTTATTGTATAATATAAATTCACCTTTTAAATTAAAGGTGAAATAACGATAACTCACACGAAAATCTTCAAAGTCGGAATTGTCGAGATTTAGTTCAATTACTTGATTATCATTATTCATATCTATTATCTCTAATATATATAATACGACTATTAATTACGGTAATTAAATAATTACATAATCAAAATAATTATTACTTACCTAGACCATTAAGATCATTATAAATAAACGCAAGTTTCTTATCATCAGAAACACATATTCGGTCTATGCTTTTAAATTTAGGATTTATTTTAACTGTATGATCAAAATTAAGTCGACCCTCATCTATATCTTCGATATTCCAACCAACAATTGAATGATCATCTTGGCTATAAGTAACAAGGTATTTTTCATTTGGTGATACTTCTATCTTAGTAATAGGTTTATTCTTATGTGGTTTTATATCATTATCGATATCAATTTTATTGTTATCAACATTATTAATATCAATATTGATACCATCGATTTTTACGAAAGTTTCACTCATTTGGTAATTTGGAACTAGGGTTTAATAAAAAATTTTTTTTTTAAAAAAAACATTTTTGTAATTAAATGCAAGTTTGCGTTAAAAAAAAAATATGTACACATCTGTATTACAAAAAAAAAATTTATTGTGAAAATCGGGTTTATCGATTTCAATAAAAAAAATTACTCAAAAACAGAATTGGCGTTTGGCATGATACTAATTAATAATAATGAATTACCACGTGACGGGCGGGGTGATCATGTACTTTGATAATAAAATTTTTCTAGCAAACAACTATTCAAAGGGTGGTGATTTAAAATTGTACATAAGACTTATTAATTTTTATTATCTTCTTTAATAGAAAACCATGGAATTAGTAATAACTATAATTCTAAAAGGTATGGTAGGTATTAAAAAATACTTTTAACAGCTTGCATCTATAATGGATATTAATATAATCTTTTCAAATAGGAGCAAGAAGAAAAGTTCAGCCAGTATTATATAAAAAGGTTCTTATAAACTTGCATAAAAATCTAATTACAGTCAAACTTTTTTATAATGATATGTTAGGACATATATGAAATTTTTAGAAAATATCATTATATTAAAGTTATACCAATATTTATATATCTTCATATATAATGGAAAAATAAAATTTTTAACAGTATATCAGTATATCAAATATCGGTATATTGAGATTAGATTGTATATACAATTAGAAAATGTAGAACTAATAAATCATATTCTATTTAAAGTAAGTATCAATAAAATCACAAAAAGTTGGTTCAGTTTTCTAAAATTTTATTAATGGCACAAAAAATGCATTAAGATATAAAAGAATATGGAAAAAAATACAAGATTTACCTATATTTATTATTAATATTATAGGTAAATTATTATAATTTCATATTTTCTGTATTGTATTTTATATAAAACATCTAAATTGCCTATTGGAAACATTTTTTATTATTATTAATCAGATATATAACTCCTTTTTTTGTGGCATAATTTTTTAAAAAGTAATATATAATTAATTTTTATAAATAACTAAATTATATGATTTTTGCATAATAGACAATGGAACACTGGATAAAAATGAATTTTTGCGCAAATTTATAACATGCTGCAGGAACTATATCCATTCACTTATATATAACAAATGGTTTTTCACAACTATAGAAAATATAGTCACAGTATAGTAAGTCCCATAATCATCCTTGCATTGACTACAGAGCCCTTGGCTAAGAAAATATATTTCATATATGTTTACCTATATAGCATAATAAATCATTTAACAGTTGCATACGTAGGGTAGGGTATTTTAATAATATGACGAACGGTTTATAAATTAATAATACTAATTTAATTAGGTAATTTAGTAATTTTATTAAGTATTACTTTAATTATTTTAATAAATTTATAAATGTACTGCAATTAAAAAAAAAATTATATGATTTTTATAAAAATTTTTTTTATATGATAAAACTTTTAGTTTGATTTGTAATTTTGAATCATTTATCTGTTTCACTATTCTTATCAATTTAAAGGTAAAAGTATTATTAATATTTATTACTAAAAAATTGGCATACATATTATAAAAGAAATATAATACTTATAATTATACTTTATTAGGCCTAAGATAAAAATCATATATAAAATTCTTTGCAGATCTTACTATAAAAGGAAATTTTATATTGCATATTATTATTTTATTTATTTCAAAAGATTTTTTTGAATTGTGATATTATTTGCATTAAAAAATTCTATGTTATTATGCTTTTTAAATATACTTATAATGATATTTACTATAAAATTTAAGTCTATTATCTTTACCTATAATTCTATATGCATTTAATTATAATACTTAAAACTATTTCATAATCTGAATTGTATTAATTTATATTAGTTTTCAGTATTTATTATTACTATGATTGCAGACATTTCTTATATTAATTAGTTACATTATATATAGTATAAATTTTGAGTAACTACTTAATTACATTTTGACTTATGTTGATCTCTGCTTCATATTTTTGCATTTTGCATTCAAATATAAATATAAAATAAATTTGAAGACTGCTTTTTTAAATTTAATTAAACTGATCTAACAACTTACTTATATTATACACTTCTTACTTGATGTAATTTTTTATAATACTTTTTAGCTTATATATTACTACAGTAATTGGTTTTTTTTTTATTATATTTTTTTTCAATTATATATATTTTTTTAAAGGTGAAAGATTTTTTTAGTTATCTTGTTTTTTTGACTCTAATATTATAAAGTTGTTCTTCTATATTTCTTTTGGTTGGTTATACTGGTAGGATTTTTACAAATTATAAACTAATTATTACTTTTTTTTATTTTTTTTGGCTCTACTAATTGGTAAGAAGAATTTTTTTTCTTTATCTATTTGATTTTTATAAGGAGTTTTAGATTTTTGGTACATGAGATTTTAAATATATTTATTCAAGCAGTTTGGTTTCTGGGTTTGATTTAATTTTAATATATAAAATTAGATAGCTATTTTTACTTTTATATAGATTCTAAAGTATTTTCTGAAGATTAGTTTTTTGCTATTAAAAGGTGTCTTTAAAAAATCTATGGGGTTTATTTTTGCTATCATTTTTATCATCTTCATGCAAAGTTTGAAGGGTTTTCTGAATAGGAAAAAATTAGGATTTTTCTTTGTAATTGGTCCTTTTTTTTCCAGTTCCAAGAGGGGTAGTTCCAAGAGGGGTGCATTTATAGAGAACTGACTGTATAACAATTAAATGAAATAGGAGGAGAAAAATACAAACTAGATAAAATTACTATAAAATGAAAGGGCAAACAAAATTTCAAACTACCAGCTAAGGTAAATTGAGTAATTTATAATAACCTTGATCAATGAGTAAAACTATTATTATAGGGTAGCACCATAATTTTGAAAACTTTCAACTAAAAATTAATTTGTATTGAAACTAACTAATTATTAAATTTTCATATTAAAGTTTAGAAATTGGTTTTGAAGTTTAGAAAGTTTCGAAATTTAAAATAATTTTCTAAACTATTAATTATTCTAAACTGATTTATAAACTTATTAGTTTGAATGTGAACATGGATGGAATTTGACTTTACTAGGCATAGAATAGGTTGCATGAATTTGTTTTTTCAAATTTAAGCTCTAGTCCTGTCGCGTCACGTTAACATCATATTAGTGTCATATTCACATTCATATTAGCCTTATGAGATTAATATCATATTCATATCATTCATATTATAATTACAGTAATTTTCATTCTCTCCACAATTAGTTACGCGAAGATTATACGGATTATACGGATAAACTTTTCCGGTCATGTGCATTTCATTCAGTTTCACACATGGCTTGATTGCGTCAGCCAATAATTTTTTATATAAATGTCAATGAATTTACAAAATTGGTTCACAATCATTAAATCCAAAGTCTGTTCGCGTAAAAAGCAAAAAAACTATCAAATTTTCGCGTTTTATTTTTTTAATATACTTATTCATACTTCTTAACGATGGCTCCAAAAAACCAAAGATCGGAAGAAGGGGAGGAGTTTTCGGATAGTACTCCTGGTAGTACCCCTGGTGATTCCGTTCGCAAACGAATACGTATTGATAAAAGCGGATCTACTGGTCCTCTACGAGCTTCCGGGAAGTATAAGTCTTTAAAATCCCAAGAAGAGTAAGTTATAACCACTGGTTTACTTGTCTCATGTCAGACATTTTTAATATTGTCAGAATTTGTTAGGTTTTAAACCTCGTATTATATTAATTATATTAAAAAGTCTAAAAAAAGTCTAACTTTATTTTTCGCGTTCTTGTTCCAAATATTTTTATTATACGCGTTGATATATAAATTATAAACCAGGTATCAAATGGGCTCTATTGTTCGTGTGAACCTTAAAAATTTTGTAACATATGATTCAGTAGAATTCTTTCCTGGACCGAATCTTAATATGATTATAGGACCCAATGGCACTGGCAAAAGCACGATTGTGTGCGCCATTGCACTTGGGTTAGGTTGGAATACCTCGGTATGTTTTTAATTTAATCTTGATTATTGTTTCATGACAATCTCCTTATACACTGCTTTAACTATCAATCAAAGCTACTTGGGCGAGCGAGAGATATTTCCGATTTTGTTAAACATGGTCAAGAGCGAGCTTCGATAGAAATCGAATTGAAAAGTGAGAATCCAATAGTTATAACCCGTACTATCGAAAAATCTAATAATTCTTCTAGGTGGAAAATAAATGGTAAGGTTGTTTTATTTGATCCCGTTGTGAACCTAAGCAACTAACTCTTTTTTTTTTAGGTAAAAATGCGACACTAAGAGACGTCCTTGCCAAGGTTAATACACTAAATATTCAGGTGGATAACCTTTGGTAAGTTTAATTCATAAAAATATATATGCAATACTATTAATACTATTGATCATTATTACTAAATAATCTCTTATTAAACAGCCAATTTTTACCTCAAGATAAAGTGAGCGAATTCGCCCAGGTAATTAGAAATGATTTTGTGAATAATATTTTATAATTTTGATCACTGATGAATAAAATACAAATATTGTTTCTTAGCTATCGCCTTCTGAGTTACTCGTTCAAACTCAAAAGGCGGTTGGTGATAAAGAAATGACAGAATGGCACGAACGTTTAATAAAATTAAGAGACGAGGAAAAAACATTATTATTGGTAAATTTATTCATTCTGTATACAATGGTTTTTTTTTCCTTTTTTAACATAATTCGTTTTTACTATTTTCAGACAATTAAAGATGATGAAGATCAAGTAGATAATCTTGAAAAAAGAAACGCGATCTTAGAAAGAGATGTTGCTCGTTACAGAGAAAGAGAAGTCATTCTGAATCGGGTAAATATAAATGACATCTTAGTTATTACGAACTTAATAATGATTAATACTTAATATATTATAAATATCCTTAGGTTAAACTTTACGAGAGAGCGATTCCATGGGCTCGTTATGACGTTGCCAAAAATAAATATGATGATGCAAAGAAGAAACGCTCTGATATTCATACGACTTATCAGAATCTCGTAAAAGAAAATGAACCCTTGAACAACAAGAAAAGGTTTTTATTTACAAATTTTGATATTTATATATTTTACGGGATGAGTGCTGAAACCCTTTTCTACTTAATTAATTAGTAATCTTGAGAAAATTGGTAAGGATTCTTATAACGAAAAAAAATCATGTTTTGAGCGCTTTTCAAGTAAAAAGCGACAACTTGAAGAAACATCGACCAAATTGGATAAGTTGGTTTGTGTTCTTTCTTTCGTAATAATATTGATGTAACTTTTCAATATCATACTTAATAATACATTGTGTTTTGATAAATAGAATAATGATTGTGAAGATATTCGCGAAGACTTAACTAATATGAAGAAAAAGGAGAAACAGAGAGAAAATCGTATTGTAGAAATTCAAACTGAAATTGCAAGATTAGAAGAACGAATCTCCGTCAAACCTCCAGAAAATGACACATCCGAAATAAAAAGCAAAATTGTACGTTGATAAACCTGAAGGATTATGTATGATTTTTTTTCTAGATTCTAAAAATTGTCACTTTATTGCATATAGGATGACCTTTCTGCTCACATGCATAAAATTCAAATTGATGGTAAAGACATCCAAGATAGAATAGAGCAATTGGATGATGATTCAGAAAAAATTAATCGTCAAATCTCGCGCATTGATCGAAAGTAATTAGAACTTATTTTCGCGAATTTTTTAGGTCAAAAGCATAGAAACATTTTTAAACTTATTAAATATCATTTATTGTTAGACGTAAAGAACTTGAAGATATAAGAGAACGTCGACTTGATGGTCTGAGATATGATAATCCACCTGATACAATAAAGGCTGTTGATTGGTTGCGTGAAAACGGAGACAAATTATTCGCTCATGTTTCTTACCCTCTTTGTGCAGAGATTAATGTTAAAGATAATCAATATGCGGATGTTGTCGAAAGTGCTATAGGACAACAAAATCTTAGGGTAAACTATCTAAATTTAATCGCTAAGATTTCCTTATTAACTAAATTTATGAAAATTTGAATAGACTTTTGTATGCGAGGATGAACGAGATTATCACATAATGACAAGGGAGCTCTGTGACGTACGTAAATTAAGAATCAATGTTGTCTGTTTCTCTAATACAACTTTGAGAGATTTTCCTCGGCCTATACCTAATGATAGGGTGCGTAAGATATATATGTATGTTTGTTTAATAATGTATTACATATTAATGTTCTTATTTATTTTAATTAGCTAAAAAATCTTGGATTCGATTGTTTTCTATTGGATCAAATTGAAGCTTCGCCAATAGTACTTAACGCTCTTTGCAATTTGTGTCATTTATATAAAATTGTAAGTACAAATTTGAAATTTTTTTGCGGTTCTTGTCCATTATGAATTAATGTAATTATTATTCTACATTTAGCCAATAGCACCACAAGGAGTTAACTTCAATCACGAAGAAATTGAGAGAACCCGTGCTTTTACAAGATACTTTGTTGGAGATACATCTTATTCATTATCCTGGTCGAAATACGGAAAAAGGCTTTCTCAAACTTATACAAATAGAATTCGACCAGCTAGACATCTTAAATTTTCAGGTTAATATGATTTTTAATTCGATCTGATCAATTTTTCTTATTAATAGTATTTGTAAACAAAAAAAAATTTCCTTTTTAATTTGTAAAGTTAATATTGAACAAAGGCGTGATCTTGAGCGTCAATCTCAAGAATTGCAAGCAAATTTGACTGAAATCAATAGTACTAAACAAGAATTAATTAAAGAAGAAAAGGAATTAAGGGAAACATTTGATAATTTAAAAAATGAAAAGGTAGTTGTTGCTAAATTCGTTTCATATGATAATATTCCATTATGAAAATATTTTAATAACATATTATTTTAGACTGCTCTCAATGAAAAAAAGCTAGAACTTCAACAAGCGATGAGGGAATATCAACGAAACGCAATCACTCTTGGTTGGTTTTAAAAAAAATAATACGCTTTAATGATTCTTATAACTATATTAATTACATTTAATACTTTATAATAGATTCCAAGAGAGAACAATTACAACGCTGTCTTAATGCCCCTGAATCAATGAAAGAAGAGGAGAATGAATTAAGAAAAAATTTACGCAAGACTGCGGAAAAACGATCCGGAATGGTTATAAAGTTTCAGGTTTAATTTCAACGTTCTAATTAATTGTTTTTCACGTAAAGTAATTTATGTAATACGAACTTAATAAATTCTATTCTTTTAGAATTTGTTAGAAGAGAGCATGGAACTTTTTAACAGACGTAGTATAGCTACGTTGAAATACATCCAAGCTTCGTCGGATCTTATTGACTTGGATACTAAATCGCAACAGCAGAACGACGCTTTAAAACAAGCTCAAACGAGATACAATGAAGGTAAATGTACATTTGAGATATAATAATTAAGCGAATACCTTATGATATTTAATACCTCTCTTTACTTGAAAAGTGGACAAACTGTATAATCAAGCCAAAGAAGAAGCAAGAAAATTACATGATGAATGTAATTTTGATGATAAGGATGAAGTTGACGAGGTATGTGTCAGAAAGTAGTTTGCATTATATATGCCTTATTTCATTTCACAATATTTGACTAAATTATGTTATATATATCATTTTAGCTACTTAAAGAAATGACGTTGGAAGATCTCGAAGATGCCGTTACTTCTGAACGCACAAGAGCTGAGATGCAATTTGCCGTGGACTCTCGTGTGATTGAAATATACGACCAAAGGAAAGCCGAAGTATGTTTTTTGATAATAAAATAAATTATTTTATTTATAATATTAAATGATATTTCTATTAATTAGATCGAGTCTTTAAGGGCAAGATTAGAAATTAAAACATCTCATTCATCCAATTTAGCAAATGAAATGAAATCATTACGAGTATGCTTGAATTCTATTTATGGAGTTTGCATTTGATTTAAAGAGATGATTTAATTTAATGTTGAAATTTCAATTTCAGGAAAAATGGGAACCCAAATTGAATGTATTGATTAAAGATATCAGCAATACATTTTCGGAAGCCTTTGATCGTAAGTTATTTATAATTAGATTCATTAATTCTTAAATTATTTTAAGCTAAAATACATTGTCTCCTATACAACAGGTATAGGATGTGCTGGCGAAGTTCGTGTCAGCACTCACGATGATTATAATAAATGGGGTATTGATATTTTAGTAAAGTTCAGGTTAGAAAAAATTTTCATAATTGCACTGATTAACTTTATCGTTAATTAAATATACTAATTATTACTTTTTAAATACTTAAAGAGATAATGAGAAATTACAAATATTGAATTCCCAGAGACAATCTGGTGGAGTAAGTAAATTATGTTGTTTAATTTAACGTAATAATGTTACTTCCAAATAAGTCTTACCGAGATTTTTTCATTTCCGCAAGGAACGATCTGTTTCTACAATTATGTATCTGATGTCACTTCAAGAACTTGCCAAAGCTCCATTCAGAGTTGTTGATGAAATTAACCAAGGAATGGACCCACGAAATGAGAGATTGGTTCATTGCGAAATAGTTAAGACTGCATGCCGTCCAAACACTTCCCAGTATGTTGTATAATTGACGATAGTTTATATTCATAATAAATTATTAATCAATCTTAAATTTTTACAGGTATTTCTTAATAACTCCTAAATTATTGCCAGATCTGGAATATCACGAAAGGATGAAAATTTTATGCATTTATAATGGAGAATGGCAGCCAGAAAAGATGGACTGGCATAAATATATAAAAAATAAAATTAGTTCTTAATAATAATTAACATGTTTTTTTTTCTTATTGTACCTGCCTCTCTTTATATAAATATCACATTCATAATATTCATAATATTCATTCATTGTTCATTCAAAGACTTTAGTAATACCAGCTCCTCTTAGTGAATCTCTTACCGTAATTATTTTAAATTCAGGTAACGGACTATAAGCAATGTAATTTTACATCTTCACTTATATTATTTTAAACTATGCCGAATAAAACTTTAAATTTAATTAAAATTATTAATTATCCCTTAAACTGTTTTGCGGGCAAATTTGCCCGCAATTTCTAAATTAGAATAAATGAAGCTATAAAAAATTCTTTAATTTTGGCCAGATCGTCACATAATTTTGCAGCCAAATTGATCTACATTCTGGCCATAAATTGTATGAGTTAGATATACAGTTGATCATTAAAATTGGATTAGAAATTAACCCGCAAAAATAGTATCGGAATTTTTATATAATAAAATTTAAACTTTTCTTACCATATTTTTTCTCTATTTGAATATTTATTATAACTTTTTATTTTTATTATAAAAATTTTGCATTATAATAAAC